TTCGGTATATTAATGTATAATTTATACATCAAAAACTTTATTAATGTTATTGATATAAATTTTTATAATTAAAAGTAAACTGTTTCTGGATTGATTTATTATTAACATGATTACTTTTTAAAGTAAATACAATAGACCTTAAGTATATTTCGCAAGAGCTGCTATTTAAGATCTTAATAAATAGTCAACAATTTGAATTTTTTTTTATTCAAGAATTATTTTCTTTCTTATTTTTCTTCCACCTTCCATCCGAAACTTAAGCTTTACCTCTAAGTTAGACCTCGGTTGTCAAAAAACGAAAAGTAGATTACTTTTTATGTTATCTTTTTGACAATTCGTGAAATCCTTCTTTATCGTTTTTTTTCATTCGTTTTTATAGAGTTCTGCAAATATCTTGAAAATAAAAAATAAAAAAAATAAAATAAAAATTAAATGAGTTTTTGTTCGATCTTGGAGAGAAATTAACGACGTGACTTTTTCTTGGTAAGTGAATTTATCATTTTCGTAAAGATATTTTTTTAGAAAAAAATTCCTAGAATGTTTTTTTTTTTTTCTTGCTTAAAACACACGAGATTTCGATCACTTCATTTATGCTTTATTCATTCATTATATTCATTCTATGTTCACTACATTCTCTTTAACGACGTGTGGTCTTTTCTCAAGGAAACTAAAACTTATTGTTTCTTTTTTTTTATTTATTTTATTTTTAGTTTCAATTAACAATTTCCTTTACGAAGAAAAGAACTATAAAAAAAAATATTTTTTCTTTTTTTGTCATATAACACCGACTTAAAAACTTTCTTGGTCTTGGCTTGAGCTGTGCTCGGATATAGACGAGAAATTTGTAAAAGTAAATTTCCATAATTAATCGATATATCCTATCTTATATATATAATTCATAATAATGGAAAGTTTAGGTGATTTTAATTTACTGCACAATGTGATCGCGTGCTTGTCATCAATCTTTATCTAATATCTTTGTGGATAATGTGACCATAATCCTTAAAAATAATAGCAATCCAAAATACTCGAGAAATCCCTGATTATTACGAATCGTCGGTACATCACTCCATTTATATCGCATCACCGTCTCAATCGAATGCGAATTATTACCAATTTAATAAGGGTGATATGCTTTCTGTTATGGCTTCTCCGCATCCTAATACTACAATTACTTCCACATCTATGCCATCAACGCCTTCGACCCCTGCAACGCCCACTATTGTCCCTTTTCATAATTTACCTTTCATTACCGGTGTTTCTCAATCTCAAAGTTTGACAAATCGTCCAAGAACTTTAAAATTCTTTCCAAAAAACGGTCGGGTTGGTACTCGCCTTACCATCGAAGTATATCTTGAATTACCAAACCCTAATAATGTGGTGCTTAATCTGGCTTTTGGTGATTTAATGGTGGAAACTCATAAAGTTGCTTTACCTGAATCTCGTTATGAACTTGTTGGTATCGTACCTAGTCAAGACCATATTAAAAGTGCTAATAGGTCTAAAGTTCCTGTAAATATGATGATCTGTAGTAATTATAATATTCCAATTGATAAATGGCATCTTGGTGATTTTGTCTTTAAGGGTATGTTTTTTTTTTTTTTTTATTTCTTTTTATATAAATTTTCCGTCTTAAAAAAATTTTTTTATTTATCATATACTTATTTATTTACTTTATCATTTACTCATTAATTTATCTAATTATTTACCTTTTAATTTATTGAATTTTTTTTTTTACCTTATAAATTAGACAAAATATCTCCGCACAAACGTCTTGTTAAATCTGGAATTGACTTTGATATTGACGATACGACTAAATGTATATTTAATTAAAATTATATTTAAAGTTTATATTATATATATACTATATATATATATATTATTTATTTATTTATTTATAATCTGTTTTATGTTTAATTATTAGCACATCGTCGTCATTCTTTTCAAGGATGTTTATATCACCCTTATGCCATCTCTAACGGTACGGAACCGACTTCACCAACGACTTCAGTTACTCCTCCTCTAAAAAATGAGATGTTATATAATAATTCTGACGGTAACTTATTAATTATTCGCAATTATTATTGTTTCGGATCCATTATATTCAATTAAATTTTTTTTATATTTTTTTAATTAGCCTATTGTGCTCAAACAAATGTCTATAACTTTTATCCTTATGGAAACCATAATAATTCTGTCGTAGAGCAACCAATGAAATCAAATTTAACCGTTACGGAACAGCCACAGCCACCCTTTGAGTTACCAGACTATCGTGAGGGTAACTACGATTTCATGTTAATTTAAAAAATTATTATATTATATAATGGATCTGATTTTTTTATATATTTTTATAGTCGAAATTATAAGCAGCGAATCTCAGTCTGATATACCAAGTGACCCTTGTTCATTTTACTCGTCATCTGCTTCGACGCCTTATTCTACAGCGTCTGATGATTCTTTTAATGGTATTTGATCTTTATTTTTATTTCTTTATACTATATATATATATATATATTTTTATGTATTTCAAAATTTTTAAAATCATTTATTTGTTATTTTATATATATAGATTCAATTTATAACAGAGAGACTTCTATTGAATCTCCTAACTTAATTTATGCTCAGGAAAGTTCTAAGGAAACGAATATCGTTCCTATTTCTCCAACAAATGAAAGTGATTCTAGTACCGATGATTTACCAACTCCTG